AAACACAGACGCATGCACACACATAAAAACAAGAAATGTTCCAAAGTAGGACTCTTGTTCTTTGTTTTTCTCATACACACAAGCACACACACACACACACACACACACACACACACACACACACACACACACACACACACACACACACACACACACACTACTGAGTAATGGAAGTGGCCTTTCTGCAAGGAACAGCTAATTACCTGTAAAATGGACTGATGTGGACAAAAAAGGTGACTGACTACTGAAATTGGCAACTTAGCTTGAGTACTGTATGCTCATGCTCCAGGCTGTGTGTGCGTGTGTGTGTGTGTGTGTGTGTGTGTGTGTGTGTGTGTGTGTGTGTGTGTGTGTGTGTGTGTGTGTGTGTGTGTGTGTACAGTACAGCACAGTTGTAGAGTCATTTGGCTTCCTGGAGGCTTTGTTATTAATGTGGTGTCACCCTCTGTAAACTTATTACATCAAAGCCTATCTGCCATGGTTTTAAAAATGGAGTGAACACACGTGCAGATGTTTGGGAAGGCTCCTCTATAACAGGAATAGAGTCTGTTTGGCCCAGAGTGAGGTGCCCACTTTTCAATTTGTGCAGCTGTTACATTGGCAGCTTCAACAAACTTAACTGTCACCAAGATATAATATATTTCACACTGCAGCACATTAAGTCATCAGTTCAGGCATGGTTTATGCTTGTGCTTGTAACATGGTAAAACTGAACTGGTGCCTGCAAATACACAGATGAGGAATTGTGCTTGCCTGAAGGTTAGAGAGGCAGGCTTGGGACTGGCTGGCTTAAATGAATGAGTAATGTTCTCCCATCCCTCAGCAGCTACTGTTGAAGTGCCCTTGGAAGAGGCACTGAACCCCCAATTGCTCCAATTGAGCTGCTCAGTGGCCAGAAATGCAAAACTGTGGCTGCACTGGGTGGTTACCAAATGGGGTTGTGTTAAAGAGTGCAACCAGGGTGGAAAGCAGCCACCATGCAAATGCTGGTTCATTCTGGCTGAGGCTTGTACCATAAGTTGGTTTACTTTGCCAGCCACTTTGGCAGGTAACTAACCATTATTTGGAGGTTCTGCTCTATTCTGAAAATCTAGTTGGCTTGTGAATTAGTGAAACTGTCTGATAAATATGTCTAGACTAGTAGTCACATAATGAGCTAGCCAACCACAATACAGGTCTTACTCTACTTTTAGGTCTTTCATTTTAGTTGGATAGTGCCTTATATGTTGTGAGATTTTTGCCAGTCACAGAGACCATTTTTTTGTGTCTTGCAATGACATGATGAAGTATAAATTTCTTCTCTTTGATCTCACATTGTTACATCAGGGTTAAATTATAATTTTGATCTAGCACTACCAAAAATTAAATTAATTCTTTGCATTTCCAAGACCTGTTCTTGTTACAAGTTGAGAGCGTCTGATCTAGAGGGTCAAATTCAATCTGACTGCCTTTATTATACTGCATATAATTTATGGTGCAGCTATTACTAAAGATCAATAGCACTTAAACTGCTCCATTGATATTGAAACCTGCACTGATTTACAAGCAGATAGGTCTTTGGTCAAATCCAGACACACACATACAAACAAACAAACACACATATACCACTTGTATATTTGATATAATGCAGTGACTTCCCAAAGTCCCAATGTTGTCCTTGCTCGCTTTTCATTTCCTGTGATTGCTCTTTAAGGGCACACACACTTGTGCGCACGCACGCACACACACACACACACACACACACACACACACACACACACACACACACACACACACACACACACACACACACTTGACTGAAATCTGGCTTTTCATTAGATTGGATTGCTTTGTGTGTGTCTGTTTGTCTCCAGTTTACTTTCAAAGTTTGAAAGGCCAGCTGGCCAGCAAACCTGTATACAAACACACACACACATACACACACACACACACACACACACACACACACACACACACACACACACACACACACACATACACATACACACACATACACACACATACACGTACACAAACTCAGTGCTGCTATACTTGAGAGGACACTGTATTGATTTACATTAATTGCCAAATATATAAGTATGGTGGGTTGGTCCACACAAGTATATAAACATGCCCATATCCATATGAACAAACACACACACACACACACACACACACACACATTTGTGACCTTAACTACAAAAAGAACACACAGCAGGAGTGTGTGTGTGTGTGTGTGTGTGTGTGTGTGTGTGTGTGTTAGTGAGTGTGTGTGTACGTCTGAGTGCCAACTACCAATGCACTAGGACTCAGGGATTGTCAGCACTGCCAAGGATATGACACCAGCTCTGCAGAAAACAACCAGCAGATGGATAGATGGACTGGTGGAAGTGGATGCAAATCCTTTAAACTCTACGGGCAGAGTGATGGACTAACACACCAGGGTTGGCGTTTGATTGGTGGCCACCCAATGCCGTCACATAGGGGGTTAAAGTTGGTTCTTCGGGACTCACAGTGGGAGATTATTGTTGCTGTTCTGATTGGGGTATCATGACACAGGAGTCTGGAAAATAGGTCCCTATGCAGTTAGCTACAATAGCTAATCCAGAGGGCTAATTTCTGCATCTATTTTCAGTTGTACTCAGAGACAAGGGTTGGAAATAGTTCATGTAAAAGTTTTTGGACTTTTGAACTATTTAAGAGACTTGTGCTTCTTGCCTCAAACTGTGGCATTTCCCGAATCTCTGCAACGGAGGTGGTGAGTTCAAAGTTAGCATTACATGTAGGGGCCCCAGTTAAGAGAACAGGAACCCAGGTTAAAAAATACCATCCCTTAACATATTAACTTGGAGTTTTATGGCTTTCTAAGAGTGTAGTTTTGGGAGCGATACTGAACATCAGAGGTATTTCATCCTAGCTAGCAAAACTACTATATACAGTGTTCTGTGTTATTTTTAAATGTTTAACCTGCCAAGGCTCTTTGAATTAAACCATAGAAGTATAAATAGCTTTCAAATATGACACGTGTGGATAACTCAGCTTTCATTTTTTTTAAAAACAAGTCAGGCAGAGCCTCATTTTAAGTTCACAATACATTATTCATGGGCAGATAAGCTGTGTTGCACTAAATGTAAGATATTTACTCTCTGTATACTCCCATTTCTGTTGGTGTAAAAACACAGTATGTTACAATAACAATTTCAATTAGCTGAAAGATATCAAATAAATGCCACCAACAGGTTGTATTAACGTGATATCAAAAAGAAGCCCATACATGTGTATTGCTGCAACAGTCGCACAGTTCTGTAGGTCAAGTTCACTGGCTAACAGTTAAGGTCACTTTTAAATCAGAATGTCAATTTCCATCTTTGGCATCTACAACCAGCCAGCTAAGTCAAAGTCAATTTGGAGCGCTGCATCAGCGCACTATCGAGGTCCCTTCCTCAGAAATTTGATCACATAAAATGCTACTTGAAATGTCAAACCCCTGGGGAATATCATCGATTTGCTGATTTATCCAATCACTTGTTATCAGAAACCACAGCAGCACATAGAAAATGGACATTTCCACCTACAATTTCTGTCTGTATTACATTCCATGATGAAAATTAGGCAGTATGCATGTGGCATTTAATGTCTGTGGTAACACTGAACTGCCTGAACTTTCTGGCTTATTATTGCTAATGGCTTCACTCAAATACTTCCACAATCTGAACAGTGAGCTTGTATTTCCCGCTGTAGGGATGCATAGTTTTGTTATTGGAAAACATTTTAATCATGTCACTTAAGTTTTGGATGGCTTCAAGTGAAATATACACACACCTCTGTGCATAGATCTATACATGAACATCATTTGCCCTACCTAGATTATAGGTGAAACTGAAGTTGACAGACCTATGTTAATTTTACCTACTCATCTCCCCATTGACATGACATCCACATGATGCTGGCCATATGGACAAAAACACACACACACACACACACACACACACACACACACACACACACACACACACACTGGATTACATCTGGGTGCAGGGAGGAGGGGGGCAAAACTATATTCCGGAAAGAGAGAGCGCGCGAGGAAGCAGCGACCCATATCCCCCACAGTCACACACACACACACACACACACACACACACGCACACACACTCAGGAATACGCACACACACATGCACAGACACTGAGGAATACGCACACAGGCACGTAGCCTTCACACAGGTCGAATATGAATTTAGGAATCATGCATACTCCACTCTTTAGGCAGATCATTCACATTAAACTGAACTGGTGAATTAACATGAAGTGAGAGTAATTCAAGAAGAAAGTGACAAACGTCACCATCTCTCCCCTCACTCTCTGCTCTCCTCTTAAACCCTTGCACGGACCCTCCGCACAAAGATGCCGCCCAGTCGGACAAATCCGTCCCGTCTATCGAGCGTCCCACCGCCGCCCACAGCAGCTCTCTGCAACAACTCTGTGCAAACAAAGCAGATTGAAATTCACCCCACGCGCCCAATACTGACATACACACTCCCCCTCTCTTTATTCCCTGACCAACATAGAAAGAGTGTGAATTTGTGCGCGTGTGTGTGTGTGTGAGGGAGAGAGAGAGAGCCAGAGCAGGAGAGATGTGCTCCAGGATAGTGTTGCAACAACCTAAAGCTGGGTACTCCGACAGTGGCAAACCCCCCCATTCGTTTATTGCACCTCAAGACGTATTCAGCACCCAGCTGACCCCCTGGCATCCTAAAGCCATTGGGTCACCCCAGCCCAATCAGCCACCAAGTCACCCAGTCATTCGACCTGTCACACAAAGCATAGCAGCTTTACCCTTCAGCACCAGTCACTCTGCTGCGGATTAATCCAGCCAGTCGCCCAGTGATAACAGTCATCCGACCAGCCTCCCATACCAGTCACCAAACAGGCCACCCAGTCATCTGTTCACCCACTGTACCGCGGGCGATCGCAACTCTCTTGCCGGCGAGCAAGTGCGCGCCGCCCGGCTGCGAGCGTCTTACCTTGAGCGCTTCTATATCCAAAGCCGTCGACCGGTCCATGATAGAGAAGTGGAGTAGGCTACTGCAAATCAGTCACGAAAATAGAAGTCCCACAGGCGGAGATGAGGAGGGGGAAAGAGACTACAAACGGAGACCAAAAAAAGTTGGAATGCTCTCTAGAGTCCCAAACTCTGGTGCAACATCCCCTGGATTATTGTTAGGAGTAGGTTATTAATATTCCACCACGGCGACGGATTTTCTCAGTTTCATCGCTCCCTGTGGGTCGCTTGGTAAAATCAGGACTCCATACCGTGGAAGTCCCCCCCCCACCTCCGGTCCCCGGTTCGTCCGTACAGGGGACGATGAGAATATGGAAAATGTAGACAGAGATAGAATAGAATTAAACGTGCGTAATGTTTCAAGCTGCGGCTTTTGCGCACTTGACGATCCCGTACGTCTTTTTTTGGTGTTGTTTTTTTGTTACATCTGAGTAAGAAATATTCCCCCCCCCCACTGCAGGAATGAAGCCGAGATTCAGACTCTCCTGCCAGTCGTGCAGCGGATGAATGCCGTTATATCCCGTTGAATCCGAGGGAAATGTGAGTGTGATGTTGTGTCTGCTCGTGCAGTGGTCGGCAACTGGAGAGAGAAGGAGACCGGATCAGACAGATGATATTCTGCCTTGCCTGGGCGACTTCCATGCGGCAAACCGCCAGAGATATCAGCTCTCCCTGAAAGAAAAGGGAAAGACAGAGAGAGAGAGAGAGGAGGGGGGGTCAGCGAGAGAGAGAGAGAGACCTGGTGGGAGAAATGCTGAAGAGGAGATGAGGAGAGCTGCGAGAGTTGAGACGAGAGGAGAGAAGGAAGGAAGGTTTATGCTGTATATTATTCCAATGACTGACGCACCGGTGTGTGTGTGTGTGTGTGTGTGTGTGTGTGTGTGTGTGTGTGTGTGTGTGTGTGTGTGTGTGTGTGTGTGTGTGTGTGTGTGTGTGTGTGTGTGTGTGTTTGTGTGTGACAGAGAAAGAGCGAGAGGGAGGGAGAGGAGAGGTGAAGGCTCGTTCTAATCAAGTAGATGAATCGAAAATGCTGCTTTGCCACTGAAGACAAGAAAGAGATTTAAATGCAGAGGCTGTTGGAAAGCTGTTGCAGAAAGTCTGGGGTTGCTGCCTCTGTGTGTGTGTGTGTGTGTGTGTGTGTGTGTGTGTGTGTGTGTGTGTGTGTGTGTGTGTGCAAACAGAAAGCAGACGCATTAAACTGATTCAGTATGTCTCTGTACGAATATTAACAGAACTATAATCATACTGTGACTGTAGGGACAGAAAAATCAATGTATTTGAATAGGCTGACAAAAACTAACATTCCTTCTTCCTGTCTTTCTTTCTTTCTTTCTTTCTTTCTTTCTTTCTTTCTTTCTTTCTGTCTTTCTTTCTTTGTTATGGTGCAAATTGTACTCATCCTTCTCCTGCATAATAAGGTGTCGCCGCCTGCCGACCACCATGGCTTTTTATTATCTGTCACACACCTTTTGAATAAGGAGAAGAGCAGAGCAGTGGAGAGCAGTGGAGAGCAGAGGAGAGGAGAGCAGAGGAGAGGAGAGGAGAGGAGTGGTGACAAATCAAGCAGTGGAGAGAAGAGAAGGAAAAGAGAGGAGTGGGAGGAAAGAGGATGGGAGGGGGTATGGTGACAAAAGGAGGAGAGGAGAGAAGACAAATGGAGGAGCGGAGATCAGTGGAGAGGAGAGAAGAAAAGGGGGAGAGGAGAGGCAAGGAGGAGAGGAGGTGGGGTGGCAAAAAGAGGGGAGGACAGGAGACAAATGGAGGCGAGGTTGGGAGAAAAAGAGGGAAAAGGAGAGGAGGTGGGGTGACAAAAAGACGAGAGGAGAGACAAAGTAAGGTGACAAAAGGAGGAGAGGAGGGAAATATTGTTAGTGTCCATCTCTGCAATGTCATTCTCTGTTAGAAGCAAGTTCTGAACCACGATCTATTATTATCTCAGTTTATGGCAGATTGTTCTCTTCAAGGTCTGCGGTACACACCTCAGAATCAGAATCAGGTTTATTGCCAGGATGTTTTCACATACGAGGAATTTGCCTTGGCACATTGGTGCATAAGAATCACAATCAAGCGTAGAAAAATCTAAATAAAGATAAGAAATAGGAGACAATAAAAAGGAGCTGCTATATTCAAATATAAAGTGTGAGAGAATATGTACAAAATGGTACTTAAATGAGTAAATAACTGTACAGAAACAAATGTACCTATAATATATTTTCTGATAACATGTCACACAATTCAGAATATTGTGCAAAAAAAAAAAACTTGTTCAAGTTCATCTTCTTTTTTTGTAAATGTTGGAGGGCATATTTTCATTGTCTTCCAATCAAGACAGAATATGAGGATTTTATTTTCATTTATTTATTTAATTTTCACAAACTGCGGCATCCAATGTACTCAAAGACATTTTTACTACTACCCTCCTAACCTACTGTATAGTATTGGATATGATGACTGCAGGCAAGACAGGTAGGATATGCTGAATAATGTTCTCTCATAGACTCAGACCTCCTCTGCCAGCCAAGCAGAAAACACCTTTCTATGCTGTAACAAGAAGGGATATGATTATCACTTCACCCAATCATATTCTGCAGTGGATTTAAACCCCCGACAATTATTATCCATTTTCTAATTTATCAATAATCTGTAAGTCTGCAAAGCTCAGCTGTTGTGTGTTCAGCTGCATCGCAAGGTAGCTTTTATTTCCAAAAACAATTTATACGGTGAAATGTTTCTCAGATGTATAGGCTTAATGTATATAGAGCAGGATTTCCCAAAAACTAATGAATGTATGTCAGTGAATTTGATGGAATCTGAATTTGGAACCAAATATACAATATCAGAACATTTCTTTAGTTTCAACATTACTTTGTTGACCCCCCCTTCATGCTTAGTTGCATAAAGATTTCCGCTGCAACTTCAAAGCCTCAATTTCAAGTCCTTTCCACTTTATACTGTTGTGACCTCCTATAGGCGTCAAGTGCAAGAGGCTTGTGTTCAATTTAATAAATTTGAGAGTATGCACACGCATGCATTCACACATTTGTGCTGTACAGAGTTCAGATGAACATGCACTCACACACATTCACACGCACACACACGCACACACAGCTATAGGCCTATTGAATAGCAGAACACAGAGGAACATTTGTTGAGGGAGTCGGTCAGAGATAACGAACATCATATTAATGAATGCCTCACTCATTCTCTCTGCTCCTCCCTCTCTGTTTGTCTCTCTCCTTTGCTGCCTTTCTTTCCTTTGCTCCCTCAATGCACGCCGCTTTCTCGCCCCCCCTCTTCATCCCTCTCACTGTCTCTCTGTTGCTACTTTGCATCCAATCCCTCTCTACCCCAACACCTTTCTTGTCTCTCTCTCTCTCTCTCTCTCTCTCTCTCTCTCTCTCTCTCTCTCTCTCTCTCTCCCTCCCTCCCTTTCTCTTTCTTGCTCTCTCTCTGTTTCTCTTTTGATGTTGCACTCTCTCAACCCCTCTCTCGCTTGCGCTTATTTGCTATTTTCTGCTCCTCTGTAACTCGGGGACCCCCACCACCTCCAGCTCCACCTCCCCACCACCACCTCTCTTTCTTTTCTATAAACTTTGTGCTGTCGGGCAATTAATCATTTTTCCGAGGACTCTTTTTTTTTTTTTTTTTTACAAGGGAGCAGCTGATATCAGATACGGGCACCCAGTCCTGTGCCAGCTGGAAATGACATCACCCATCTCTCCCCTCCTTCTCTCTCACTCTCTCGCTCTCTCTCCTTCTGCCTCAAATCCTCCCCTTGCTTTGCCCCTGTATTTTAAAACACCATAAACAGTTTTTCTCTCCTTCCATACGGTCTCTCATTTACTTGGCTTTATATCTCTGCTGCTGGCCCAGAAATGCAAATGTGGAGAATCCCTCTGACTTACTTCAGTGACTTTATTGCCACAGCTCAATCAAAAACAAAGATAGCTATAAGCACTATACTAAATGTCATTTCCCTTACAAAAATGCTTATGAATTTATCACATGTGAAACATCATTACCCATTGGATATTTTTCAGAAGTTTTCACATTTCCCAATTGGTCTTCTTTTCCTACGTATCTCTCCTTATTCCTTTAATGACATCATACTCAAGTCTCCATCCTGATTAATTTTACCTGCCCCACTGCTCTAAAGAACCATGATGCAGCTGTGCAGTGGCAGCGACTGACTTTAACAGGCTTCTCTGTCTCTCTCTCCATCCCTCTGCTCTCTCCCTCTTACAACGCTCTCCTAGGCTGTGATCAGATAGGCGCTCTATTCTTCTGCTCTAATGCAAAGTGCAGCTGTTTGCTTTGCTAGCTGCGGAGAGAGAGAGCGAGCCAAAGTCTATGGGAGGGTCACGTTATTATTGTTGCCATGCAGCACAAAGTTTGACAGCAAGTTACTGGTTAGATGTGGTTAACCAGGGTGGTTAGGGAGGGGGAGGGGGGAGCATCTGAAAATGGAAAGGAGAAAGTTTGCGATTGCTTTACTTGCTATTTAAGATGGATAAAGGGACATGGAGGGAGTTCCAGGTTTCCATTGTAAACTAAAGGATTGTTTAATTGTTATTGTGCATTTGTAAGGGATAGGATATTTGGGAGGGGGGAATAAATATACATACATATCTCTATTACAGCAAAATTATTATAGCAGTTATACTTCTGAAACTATTTGTGATTAGTTGATTTACAGAAAAAGAGTTTGCAAAATTAAAAAAAAATCTTTTTTTAATACATTAAAAAATGTAATGTTTTAAGTAAAATTGTAAAAACAGTCTCCATCTTTTTTGAATGTGAATATTTTCTGGTTTATTAGTCCTCCATGTTCATTTGGGTTTTAGAAAATGGCGTTTTAAATTATTTTCTTATTTAGACCAATATCTTCTCAGTTAACTGAAAAAAAAATAATCTGCAGATTAATCAATAATGTTTCTTGCACAGATCAATAATGAGATAATTTTTTTTATCAGTATTGTTAGTTGTAGCCTGAATAGCTATCCCTAAGACAAAAAGTTTACCAGATGCAGTCTGCCTTATGTGGCCTTTACATTAAAAAGTTCAGGAACTGCAGTTTCATGTAATAACCATGCAAGGCAATTCCAAGGGAATCATTTGACAAATTCTGCAACCAAGCCCATCAAGTCTGGGATTGTTTCCATGATTGAGCTGCTATAGAGGGAATGAACTGTGGTTTAACAAGACTGCAACACGTAGTGATTGTTTCACGGTGCATTGGCTTTAATATTCCAACATGCATTTCATTTCAGCAGTGTACGTGTGTGCGTGTTTGAAATAGACTTCCTTCTTTCATTCACATCATAAATATGCACTTCATTCATCCTTTGGTAATTTATGATATTTTTCAATCATTCATTCATTTATTGATGTGTTCATATGTTTACTTGTCATTCAGTTTCACTTCAAAAGTATCGCTCCCACTAACATTCAGCAGAAGATTCTTGAGCATCAGTTTTTTCCAGCAGGTCATTAGACCTTGCACAAGCCACTTACACATCTATTACTGGGCCATTAACACCCCAACCCCCACCCCTTTGCCAGAGGGATCCATTCCCACCGCCAGTTTTTGCTGTGACATATCAGCATACATATTGCAATCTGCCACGATATCTACCTCAATGTCCCATTACATTGATTGTGTAATCCAAGTTTAGGCAATTGCATAATAGCCTACATGTATTGGTGTGTTTCCTGCAATATTTTGTATCCTTTTGCATTCTTGTATTGTATTGCAAAACAATGCATTTCTAAATTGTGCTTCTGCATGCTGAATCACAAGTTCCTATGGAAATTAATCATTGACAAATAAGAATGAAAGAAAATGCCCCTTTTGGTTTGTATTTTTATTATTTAAGATGAACAGGTCCAACACTATTTACCTCCTGAAAGTAGTATTATGAGGCTAAGTGCTGAATTGAGTCAATACAGTACCACCTGAGTAAGCATGCAATCTAAAAGACAGACAGAAAGCCTTTTTGCACTATAGAGAGAGAGTGAATGCAGCAAAGTAAACTGGATTAGCTACTTCCTCTCCCTTGCCTGTGGGTCAGAGCCAAAAAGTAAGAAACCCAAGTAGAAACTTATGTGTAATGCAATCCAGTACAATATCCTTTACAGGCCTAATGTTTTTTGTTTTTTTGTTTTTTTTTGTTGCTGAGAGTGTGTTCAGGTAATGAAGCTGTTGCATTGACTGCATTAAGGTATAGCATCTGCATAAATCAATTACAGAATTTAAAAAAATAAACATAGTCACCACTTCTGTAAAAGTTTTACATAGCTAGTGTACTGCATTATATTAGTTACTAAGTGCTCAGGTGTAATATCCTAGGGAGACATGTCACTCCCATTGATTTCACATAAATCATATGTCCCCCTCAATTAAGTCTATCCAGTGTCTGCCACATTCTCGCCACTCCCAGAACATATGAGAGAGAGAAATTCTGCAGTCCTTGGGTCAGATGTTCATCCACACTTTTGATAAATAAAGCTCAGGGTAAGTTCAAGCAGGAAGACCTTCTCATTCAGCCTCATTCATTCACAGTTCTCTCACGCTCCTCTAATCAGCTATGGGCGGTTACTGTTTCAGTTAATCCAATCAGATTTAGCCACAATCTACTCCAGCCAATCATGCTACTGCCATCAAACTTTAAATCTGTGCTCCTCTCTGCTGCTTTCAGCTGTAATTACAGTGTGAACTGATTGCAACCCTCCTCCACCCCATTCACCTACAGTTCATCATATCCAGTGCCCAGGTTGAGCTCATCAGAAGTCCACTCCTCATCACATCCAGATCTTCAGCATTCTCTTCATTCCTTCATAACCACCACCACCACCAGTGTCTAGACTCCATCGGGGGTTTCCTATACTAATCACGGCTTCAGCGACCCCTTCAAATATGATGGTGTCTGATCGGCAAAGACTTTTCACATTTCTCATATTCATTGTGCACAAATAAATATATTTGTTCATTCAAAAATTAAGTCTTTACTGATTGAAATAGTACCCCAAACTGCAGACCAGTAACTTAATAAGGGCGAGTAAGTGTTCTGAGACCGAAACACATCCCCAACGGAAAAATAACAAACTGAAGAACTAAATTTAAAAAATGGCAGCATGTAGATTAAAATAATATTGATAATCTTGTACAGGGACTTCTGACTTCCAATGAACATTCATATAACTACATGTCTGACAGTGGATATGGTTTGGAGAGCCCTATAAGCTTGATTAAAGGAACAGTGTGTAGAATATTTTGCCATCTAGCATTGAGACTGTAACTAACTGAACACCTGTGTTTGACAACCTGGGACTGAAAAGTGTGTAGGAGAACCTATGGTGGCTGTGAAACTCGCAAAAAAACGTGAAAGGCCCTATCTAGAGCCACTGTTTGGTTTGTCTGTTCTGGGCTACTGTAGAAATATGGTGGTTCAACATGGTGGACTCCAGGGAAGGTGACCTGATTTTAGAAATAGTGAGGTCCTGAATGAAAAAATACTAACAAACACAGTGTGAACCATGCGTGTGTATCACTTTTGAAGTTGGTTATAACAGACAGCGTGACTGCAGTAAGGTAGGCTGACTGTTTATTCAATTCAGGTAACAACAACAACAACAACAATTCCTATACTCTAATATACACTAATGCAAAAATACATTTGAATATTATATTTTATTTCTACCAAGAGATCCAAATTACTGTTGAGGTTGTGACAAATAACCTTTTCAGTGATTTCCATTGCTTTTTTGTCTTTTTTTGGTTTGTCTTATCATCACAAATAGCATGACTCAAAATTGTTGCTTGCATGTCCATTTCTCAATCCACTGCTTGGGTGTCAGGCTGTCACCTTAAGTGCCAAACTATGTAATACTATAATAGTGTATTACAATTGAATAACCTATTGGTACCGCCTTCATAATATATAATAACAATGCTCCCAGTACATGCCCCTCCAAAGTTAAAATGAAAAGTATGTCGTCCAGATGTGAATATATAGCAGTGTGTAAGTAAAGTCAGTCTAAAAAACTACAAAACCCAGAGGCTTCCGCGCTTCAAATCTCTTACCGTTGATTGGTCAACTCACAATCCAATCCCTCGGCTGAGACGTGTCGCGCAGTCAGAGCATCCTTCCGTCATGGCGTCTGTTTGGGCTAAATCCTTCGCTCACCTGCCGGTCCTGTCTGTTTTCTTCTTCCTGCTGCTATGTCTGCCGCCCGGGGGTGGGCAAAAGAAGAAGGAGGTAACGTTTAAACCGCTTAAATGTATTTTGAAGCGAATATTGTTGTGTTGTTTAATGAAATGAGCGTGCAAGTTGAATCTGCCGGTGTGTGTGTGAAGCTCGTGAAGATTAGTCAGAATAGACCGGAAGTGTGTCGGAGAGCCGCTCTGGTTTTGGTCTTTGGGGAACAATAAACGCGACTTGTATCATTTAAATGCAAGATACATTGCTTACAAGTTGTGTTTTTCTACGTATTGTGGTTGAATGTTTCCTCTATGACTAAACGTTCCTCTCTTTGTGCATAATATGACAAGCGCGCATGCATGGGTAGGAATTACAGGCTAGCTGATGTTGCTAAGCTAATATGTATTCTAATGTTAAAATATTCTGGCCTCGGAGCATTATTAAAATATCCTGCGTGTTTACAATGACAATCCTTGAGTGAGATACTTGAGATTATCTTCACCAACGTTAGTCCACAGCATTTTTGACAATAGGAATATTATTTTGAAAATCCTACGTGCAGGAAGTGCTGTGGTTTACTTGACGGTAGCTTAACAGTGACGTTAGACGATGCTGACAGAAAATCTCCCAATAAGCACAATAGATTGATGTATAGATAGTTGCATTAGGTTGTTGCAGTCCTCCGGAACAGCCTTTAAATACTGCTGGTTTTCGTGTACGTGACTTCTGTGTGGTTGATTCATTGGAGTGACAGCAGGTCGGTTCCAGCTAAAACGGAAGTGAGCAGGAAAGGCTTGTGGCTTGTTTGCTCTATCTGTCATTCACTGGCCTGAAGGGGCTGTTTGCTATCATACTGTGTCCTTTCACCTGTGTGATGAATCGACTATATAAACGACTATTATACATGCTGCTGGTTGTAGGGATGCACGGTATTGTCCAGCTCATTTTGCCTAAGTGCTAATGCATGCACATGTTTTTTCAACCTAATTGCAGAGAATGTCAGGTCTCTCATGCATTGAAATTAGGTTATTGTTATGCCTACACTTATTGTGATGGCCTACTTGCAGATACAGACGTAACATGTACACATTCAAATTCATCCCACAGGCTTTGTAGAGGATTTCCCTGAGACAATCCGACAACAACCAGGGCAGATTTGACCTATTTTAAGTAAATAAATGTCATCTCTGTCCACCGGGATCATGTGAAAATAAAACTGTACAGCAATTAAAGCGAACTGAAAGGACATTGTTAGGCATAGTGTACTCTCTTTTTAAGGATGCTCCGATTTAGGGTTTTTTAACTGACGCTGAGCAGTCATTGCAAATCGAGAAACCTAAAAAAGATGTCCATACTGCAGACATGCTTGTCCCTCTGGTGACATCATCTCTGGCTCGCACTGGGTAACACAGCATCAAGCATTTAGCCTAGTTAACGGTATAATTCAAGTGTCATCGGCCTGTCATACGGAAAGAAATGCCAATGTTTCCTTTTAGAGCCTTTATCGGCGGATACCGATGAAGTGCTGATATCACTGTGCATTCCCAGCTATTTGCTAATGATAGTAATGGCACACGCATATACTGTACTGGTAATAGGTTTGCTTCTAGCTGTTTTACAGCAACAAGAGTGTATAGTTTTTGTGTGGGAGGCCTAAGAAAGAATTAAATCTGTAACCCCAACAAGAACAGGAGTAATCTCTGTGATTATTACTCTCATATGTTTATGTGGTTATGCATGCTGTGATCTTTAAAACAATTTAAATCAAAGCCACTACATACTATTCATATGGTAGTACTAATTGAATGTGACCCCTGCTTTTTGTTAGATATTTTTTCTTAAGTAATTTTATTTATTTATTTTTTTTACTATATCTTACCTAGAACTATGACAATGACTATTCATTTTTGACCTTGTGAATGGTAGTTTGACAAAATAATATTAACTTGAGATCCACTTATGAGCTTTTCTGGAGCTTTCAACCATCTCACGTAGACTGATATTAGTTTGTCAAACTGTATTATTCATGGCTCCAGTCCAATTTCACAGTCTGTCTCACCTGCGGAGCAGTTGTCTCACACAGGAAAGTGTGCAAGTCGAGTCTCAAGTTTTTTTCCCCTGTGACTTAGAAAAACTCAGATTTTCACACAGTCAAAAGCAGTCATCATAGTTTGGTAATAAAGTCCTAACACGCTGTGGGAAACCCTGGCATGGCTCGTGACAGCACTGTTGGCAAGGTTTCAGACTGAAAACAACCCTGTAGTAAAGCAGTGCAGGAGGCTGTGGCGGTGGGGACATGTTGTTTTGTTAACTGTCCAGGACGACCAGTTAAAGTAACAGATTAGTGCACTGAAAGGCTCATCGGATGCCAAAACATGCAACAGTTTGTAATACTCACTGACACGATTTTGCAACGCAAGCGCAATTTTGGCTGCAATAATTTTATCTTTCATCGCAGTGATCATGAGATAAACAGCAGAAATACAGCATTCATGTCCTAACGTTGATCAATGTAACAATCAGTGCATATGAATAGCCAACGCGGTGCCTTTCAGGAGGATGTTCTGTGCCCTCTGTGTTGCAGGGCTGGAGTCTGTCTCAAAAATGATGACGTAGTGTATATCTTGTTATAGACCAAGGACTTAAGCAAGTGACAGTGCTGTTGTAACATTACTGCCGCACCACCTCATCTGCACCTTTCTTCTCAGCTGACTTAGCATATGAATGGAGAATTGAATGAGTGGACAAAGGCGGAATGAATAAATGAAGGAATGCATGGGCAAATACATGACAGGTGAACAAATATTGGAATTAATGAAAAAAAAGAATATGAGTGGAAGAATTAACTGATGAATAGACAGATTAATCACTGATAAAAAAAGCATTTGAATGAGAGGAAGAAAGAAAAACTGAGACCGACATATTTACTCTCCTTCCTGTAAAACCTTTTTTTTTTTTTTTTTCTTTTTTCTTTACCACATATATGTACATATGCCTTTTTTTTTTTTCAAATTAGGTACATGTTGTTACATTTGGGTGCTTGCCGATAATGTGTACCGATCTGAGTACTTTATAATACCATTACAGTTCTAACAATGACTTTGAAAACGTGTTTTATTTTCATCATGTCCCTCACTTGTGTAAAGGAGCTATTTTTCACCCGTCCTCTTGACAATTTGCCGGAGCTTAGTTTGCAGTCTGCTCCACTTTTGTCATCCTCATTTATCCTAAAATATCTCTAAACTGCTGGCATTGCTTCTCCTCCGCCTACCTGCTCAACTAACGAGAGGTTAACATTATGTTGCTGTAAGGTCGTATCGGGTGCGGTGGTATCGGAGTAGTTTTATGATTTTATGAGCACAGTATCGGACCCAACTCTCAAATCCTTTTATACATTTATTTCTTGCAAATTAAAATACAAAAATCTGAGGGAAGCAGATACAGGTAATGGCCATTATATTTACGAGGTTAATGCAGTATGCATATATAAACTTGATGACTTCATTACTTTACAAATCTTGGACAGTACTTTTTGTGTATATTTTGACACTGAAAAGCAGTATTTAATTCATTTTGAAGAGATTTGTCTATCAAGGCTTTGAGGGGCAAATACTATAGTAAGCTGTAGACAAATAAAAACCAAGCTGTAATATCTTCAGCAGTTTAAAACGTCCAATTTACAGTCATTAATGAATGCTGTCTTAAATGACTGTCTTTACCCAGGGACAGTCTGCTGACATCAGTGCTTATTTTCAGCAATACCTTGCTTCACATTCACAAAATTACACCAGGGAGCTGCCCATTATAGCCACAGTGTGCTGTTAGGCACTGACCGGCTCAAGGACACCTCTACATTATCTAATGAGTGACAGAAAGAGCATTTCTCAATCACTTACCCAGCTGAAATGTATCCAGCTATTATTAGTTTGCTTCTTGGTCTTTGACATTGCCACTATCTATAAACCTTTAAATATTTTGTCCACCAGCATTTAACTTTGGTCCCACCCTGTCTGGAAGATCTAAATGTGACTCTGTAACAGCAGACGGGAGCTAGACACACATACTTACACTAGCACACACACACACACACACACACACACACACACACACACACACACACACACACACACACACACACACAGACGCAGACAGACATACTTCCAATGAGCCACAGGAGAGATATTGAAGGGTTATAATGTGAGAAATGTTCTTTCCCAGTTGCCTGCCTGGGGCCATGGCAGAGGAGGTGGAGGAGGCAGAGGAAGATCTTATTTAGCTGGAAATGGACAAAATGGTGAAGCAGCATTTTGTATTCATCTCACCAACTTCTGCTGTCCCTCACTGCCCTTTGTCTTGCCCTGGCCACTACAAACTTTGGGGATGGGTAGGGAAATAAAGTTAATTAAGTCATTAAACATTCAAACGTTAAAAAGTGTGTTTATTACGTTGATATTTAAATCTTCAGTATTCAAAGCATTGTTTATTTGTTCGTTTGTCCTCGTCTTGTTTCCTCTCCTTGGTTCTCTAGTAACTCATTATAGTCAGAATGACAGCTACGTGGCAGACTAGATCATGTTTAGTCTTTTCTGTTGCATTTTTAGTCAGTCCAGTCTACCTTTACAGTGTAGAGAGAGGGCGAGAAAAGGAAAGGGCTGAGAGAGAGAAAGAGCTGAGAGACTCTTGACATAACAATATTGGCATCAGGCTTTAGTTTTGGATGTAATGTAGGAATTGCTGTTATTTGGCATTTGGATTTACTTCTGTTGACTTCCTTTATAAAGCTACTGATCGTCTAGCAGATATGAGCCTAACTGTGTTTTTATCTACTCCCATTATCTACACTTTTCGGAGCAGAATTTAATACCAACTTCTGTCAAGCAAGGAGTTGGCCCTTGGTGGCTAATTTAACATTGTCAGCATTTGCTTCACAGTAAAAGCCTTCCAGTAATATAGGGGTTACAAATGCTTTCATAAACCTTTCTCTTGTTGTGCAATAGAAATTGACTCCATAATGTTGATTCACAGTTGCTGTGTTATACACCAAACTCAAATGAGGA